CCTTTGCCTTGCGGGGGCAGGGGGGCATCTGGTCACGCACCCACCCTTGCCTGTCCCTGCTGCAACTTGGGAGCAGAGGGGCAGGGCCAGCTCTGCCCTGCCGGAGCAGAGAATACAACCCCGCCCAGGGCTGCAGAGCATGCTGGGGGACTCTGGTTTAACTTAAACCAGGAAGGAGTCTGGGACAGAGGTTCCATAACCAGTTTGAGGTCAGTCAGTTAACTGTGAGACTACATTCAACCAGGTTTCTCTCAAACTGGTTTCAGCCATTTTGAAACTGGTTTACGTGCACTGAACTTCTGTTATGTTACCAGTTTAAACTGGTTTATGATCACTTAAACTGGTTTACGTGTAATGTCTGTCCCTAGCCCTGGTGTGCAGGGGTGGCATGGATTTTGTTGATCCCTAAAAATGCTGATTTATAATGTCTCCCTGGATACCACATCTGGTGAAAGATTTGTTTATGTGCACTGCTGTTAATGCCCTTTCGTTTCTGACTGCAGACATTTCAAGCAGTGTCATGAGCTGCCAGCAAATGTTGCATGCTAGTCTCACACTCAGGCACAGTCCCAAGCACATCAATAGTAATGAGCTCCACTACTGACCCCACAAGCTACTGTTGCCTGGGGCTTTTCCTGCCTTACTAGGGGTCCTTTGCAATGTTAGCATCATCTTCCTGCAGAAGTTTTCTTTATCACAGCTGCCTTTTACCTAATAGAACTTTTTCTGGGAGCTGAACTGAGTGTTGCAACCTCAGAACAACAGTTTTAGAAATGTAACATACTCTGAGAAGTGAGAACCTCCTTTTTTCATCATATGTTTACCACAGCTTGGACCCAGATACCTGTACTCATCACCCAGTGTCTTTTTCCTCCTGTCTTCTACAAGACTTCAAGCTCCAAGCTTTCTCTATGTGACCTGAAGCTTTAATTGTGGCATTCTGCTGGGATACTACATTTTAATGTGACTGCATTTACCAACTGGTTTTTCAGGCCACATTATTCTGGTAGCTGGCTACTCCAGAGGGAGGA